TCACAGGGCTCACCAGTGACTCCACTGCTGCTTTCAGTTCTGCTTGGCCGCTGCTTCAACAAATACAGCGGGTGTTGAGATGAGAAGCAGACCCCAAAATTACCAAGAGTGACCCAGATGAACGTGGGATTTGCATGGCAGAGGAGTAAAGTTGTGCAGACTTCAGACATTTATCCCCAGGTACACACGTGTTGAAGACCCCAGTTCGGCAGGAAACTTAATCAGAAAACTTAAGCGAGCAGTTCAGCTTAGGCCGCAGTTGCTCCATCACTGTGTTCCCTGTGATACCAAAACCGCAGCCAGAAGGGCTTTGTTTTCCCTGTGCAAATCGCCAGTAGTGCAGGGACAGCCTTACCTGGTGGAATGCAGTGGGGTGAGCTGTCTGAGGTGTTGGGGTGCTGTTGTACTGAATATATTCCCCATGTCCTGGCTACCAACTGTGGTTAATTTCCCTGCCAGAACTGGGCTGGAGGAATCTGGGCTGCAAGTGTTGGCTGAGCCTTTAGATCAGTGCTGTTTATTATGGTTTTTATAACGGAGACACGATTTAAGGCATTTTTTGGAACAGAATTTCCTCCTGAGGGCACAAATGCTCTTAAATACTTGTCCCACTAATTCATGCGGTGTCTTTCCGCTGTGAACTTTCGATAGGAATCCGAAAACAGGAGCGTGGTGGTTTACTTCAGAACTGCAGGACACGCGTGCGGTGCCAATGTCTCCATGGTCCCTTGCAAACCTGGTGACGATAACCAGGATGGGTGCTGGGGCACAGTGTACACTGATACGCACCAGGAATGACCCCGCTGCTCTCTGTGGTGCGGGGCAGGCTCTTCTCTTCACAGCTTGGAGAAGGTTTTGGGTTGCCCTGGCTTCTGCGCTCCTTTCCTTAGCACTGGGATCCGTGCATGGAGCATGGGCTGTGGTGCGAGGGGAGCAGGGCAGAGAAGCGCAGCCCCAGGCCAAGGTGGGTTTCTAATGGGGTCTGCAGGGGTTTGGGCTCCTCCTCGGCCCTGCAGGGTTTGGTGCCGGCTCTGTCCCTCCCGGTAGGGACATTTCTGTTCGAGATGTCCCCTGGCACACACAGATCGCTGCTGTTTAACCCGTGCAGGGTCCAGGGTGGCAGCAGAGCCAAGGCAGGGGAGCACACACTGCACCCTTACACTGCATGGGCAAGGGGGGCCTTTCCCTGATTCAGGACTCCTAAAAGGCCAATGACCCTGGCATGACCCTGCTCCTGTGATTAATTAATTTAAAACACAGACTGACAGCTGGCAGACACCACATTGTGACAGCAGTGCCCATCCCTCGGCTGCCAGCCCACGCTGTCCTGCAGCACAGTGCAATATTCTGGCTCAAAACAGCCAGCTGCTTTTAGTGAACGGCCGTTTATTTGCTGCTGAAAGGAAAAGGTGACAAAGGGGAAAGATGCATTTATAACGCAGTTATTTAGGAGTTCCAAACGTGCAAGTTCAGGATGAACGCCAGCTGCAAGATGTGCAGTGCACGGAGGTCCATACAAACCCTGTGTCTGATTGGCTTTTTCACCTCCCTTCTCCAGTCCCCCACCTCGACCGTGTTGCACGTAAAATCATTTTTACCATTTATTTTATAAATGTAACAAAAATCCAGCCGTTCATCTGGCAAGCCTTGCAAAAACCAATCCGGACCTTGACAAAACTCTCGTCTTTTCTTCTAAACCTGGGTGTGAACTTCCTCGATCCTGTTTGTCTCCACATCCTAAACCCGCGCCTCAGACCATTTCCTCTGATGGAAAAAGCCCATTTTTATCCGTGGGGATGTTTATTTTGGGGCCCACAGTCGCCCCTTCCTGGGCAGGGGCAGGGTGAGCCTGGCTGTATCCACACCTGCAGTGAGGAAATGCTCGGACAGGTCCACGAACACTGAAGTTGTTGTAATTATTTCTGCTCAAGGTCCTAACGCCTTGGACTGTGAGTTTCTGCTTTTGTCTTCCTCAGGAAAGAGGAAACTTCACCTGAGCTCTATTTTTATTTGCACAAACTCAACCCACACTGCACTCTCTGAAAACCCCACATTTCTCTGAGGGGTCAGACAGCAATCTACTCCATGTACAGCAACAACCATAGCCGGTGCCACGCTTTTCCCGAATTCCGTGTGTCCATGCCAAAGAGCGCAGACTGAATGTACTCACCTCTTCTACCTCTCCTGCTGCTATGGCTGCTATTGCACGTGTTCCCAAAAGAAATGAACCCATGGGACAGCCCGGATCCCACTTTCATAGGTAGCTGAAGGATTTAGGATTTTACTCGTATGAGCTTCCTGACAGATTCTTGCTCCTACAAAACAGGCACCCCAGAAGGGCTGGGTGAGCAGCGCTTTTGACTGCTCAGAAATCACATTTCGTCTTTATTTTCCTATGTTTTTCCCCTCACCAAACCCAAAACCCAGCAAGTGTGATTTGTTAGACACAGAAGTTTATACGCCACCCAAAAATCTGCCTTTCACGAGGGTGGCAGAAAGCGGCGCTGGTTCCCATGGCTGTAAGGGCCCTGCCCCGGGCCGGTGCCTGGGCTCCGGCTTGGTCCCCTCTGCCCTGGGGACACAAACCCAATTCCCATGGCGGTGCTGACCCCAGGTTCCTCTCAGGAACTGACATCTCCTTCCCTGGATCCTTTCATCTCCAAAACATCCCTGCAGACTTCCCATGGGGTGTTATTGCCATCGAGCCCATCAGGCCTTATTTCTCACGTCTCTGCTGATGGGAACAGCAGGGGGCCATAGGCAGAGCAGCAGGAGGCGCTGGGGGGACCGTCAGGGCCTTTGCTGTGAGGGATTTTGGCTTTCGGGCTGCGAGTGAGCAGCACTGATGCTGGTTTAATGAATACCCACAGCTTTAAAAGGTTTGGGGTTTTGGGTTTGGTTGGGGTTTTGTGATACCACCTGCAAAGACCAGAGCTGATCTTTCTTGCTCTGAGCAGAGCCCAAAAGCATTTCAGCCCCTCCAAAATGTGTGTGGCATTCGTGAGCCTCTGTCTCTTATAGCCATGGGGAAAAGCTGTGTGTGAGCCCAGTTTGTGTGACGCTGCCGGAGCCGTCCCCGCATCCCGGGCACCTGGGGTGGCTCTGACCTGAGCGGAAAGTGATCTTCACAACCTCTTTAGGCTGGGAGGCCGTGGAGGGGCTGAGCCCTCGCCCGTGCCCGTATCTGGGCCTCGTGAGCCATGTGGGGCCACGCAGGCTGAGGACGGGGCCTGCGCCGTTTGGGATGTTCCCTCTTGACTTACACGGTCTTTTGCAGTGTAACGACTGCTGTTTACTCACGTTTCAACAGAGCCCTTTGTAAACGCCGAGCAAATGCAAGGTGTGAGCCCGGTCCTGCCCGTGCAGCCGCTGACACAGCTCCCTTTGGCTGCAGCAGGAGCCGGGCTGGGTCCGTGTAAGTGATTCACCGCAGCGTTACCGACAACGAGTTACCGTGGTTTGTGTAGTGACGCTTCCTGCTGGACAGCGCGTTCGCTTCTTATGATTTGGTGATGTACACAAATAAACGACCCGCAAAGCCCGTGTGTGTTTCTGTGCCTGTTTTCTGGAGGTGAATTTCAGTTGCTGCAAGGTGAGACAAAAAGGAGCTCTCAGAGTCAGAGGCAGCACTTCAAGTTTGTGTCCCCTGCGTCCCCAGCACACGGCTTGCAACAGCCGAGGAGCACCAAGGTGCTGAGCCCTTTTGGGACCAACTTCCAGCAGTGAGCCCCAGTGAACCCCAGTGAACCTCAGTTGTGAATCCCAGTGATCCCAGTGAATCCCAGTGAACCTCAGTTGTGAATCCCAGTGACCCTCAGTGAATCTCTATGAGCCCCAGTTAATCCCAGTGAGCCCCAGTGAATCCCAGTGCCGCAGGAGGCGAGGAGAAGATGCTCCTATGTCAGCACACAGTTTTTCCCCAAAGGCCGAGGTGGATCGCTGGCTGCATGGGCAGGTTCATTTTCTAAATGCCAGCTGGATCATTTTCCTCTTGTACCATCAGCCTTTCTCTTTGGGATGGGCCCAAAGGTTCCCATCAGCCATCCTGGAGTGAGGGGTTAACAAGAAACCAGACCACACCATTACCTTGAAGGGTCCCGAGTTATTCCCTGGGGGCAGCTGGTGATACCCCTTTTCTGGTCACGTTTTCCAGCCCTTCTGCTTGCCTCAAAGTGACAAAAGGCAGAAATGATGATTAAAATTGCTGTTTGGGGCTTCTCCTGCTCCATTCACTTGTTTCCAGACTGGGGTTGGATAGATAAGGTGAGGGAGTGGGACCAGGAGCGGGAGCAGGAGTGGTCTTTGGGGCTGCCTTTCACCAGCGCCAATGCTGGGTGTGTTAAAAGGTTCACGTGAAGAAATCCAGTGTGAGCTCTGTGTCCTTTCCTGTGTCCTCTGACTGTGTGGGTATGGGTACAGGTATGGGTATGGGTATCAGGTATGGGTATCGGGTATGGGTATGGATAGAGGTGTGGGCATGGGCACGGGTACGGGTTCGTCTGTCAGAGCAACCAGGCGCTGTTTGTGCCTGTAGAGGCTGTTGGCAGCCGCTCTCCAGCCCTGCTGAATGCCCTGAACTCTGCCAAAACAACCCCTATCTCCTCCTGCCGTGGTCTGCTGATTTCTGCTGTGCATTGATCTAGTTCCCAGTGCACAATTGCCCTGCCACCAGCCCATTTCCACACACACCCCCCTCATTTCACTCTCTTCGGGCCCTTTCGCTCCTGGGAAGCTCACCTACTCGCTGTCTGCTCCAAACGTTGCTGCAGGCCTCCTGTCCCCAGCTCTTTCAGCCCTTCAAAGCAAAAGTGTGGGTTAAATAATGGCTCAGAGCTGGTTGGCTTCAGGACTCTCAGTTCCTAAAGCCGTTCCCCACACTGGCACCAGGTGAGCATCTTGATCATCTGTAATAAATCGTGTACTCCTCCTCCTTTTTTACCTCTTGAAGTGCAATTCCCTGGAGTTGCACTGAAGGGAAACGTTGCCCAGCATGGCCAGCAGGGGAAATGTTACCCAGTGTGGCCGATTTTGGGTAAGGTTGCAGCTCCTGTCAGCTGGGAGCCAACTGAAACATTAAGGAGCAGCTTTTGCCCATGGAGAAAAAAATGCACAGAGGGAAGCAGGGATTTTCTGGGATTTTAGTGATAGTCATGTCAGGTGTGCAAAGGCAGCAGCTTGCCAAGGCTTTGGCCACCAGAGCGGTGTTTGTGTGATAGCTCAGCTTTATTTTAACACTTGGAGACGGAAGCTGGTTTGGTGTTTAAAGCCTTGAGCTGAGATTTGTACTGAGAGCTGCCTGCGCAGATCAGGGTGTCTCTGTCTCTGCTCCTCATACCGGCAGTTCATGAGCTTTTTGGGGGGCAAAATCCAGATACCTGCTCAGGACGAAGGAGCACGAGTTTGGCGGGACAGGGGTGGATTTCCTGCTCACCGAGGTGGATGCTCAGGTGCTGCTGTGTGGGACTGGTGCAGACTGGGAGCAGGTTCCCAGCACTACTGCCGGGTGAACCAGGTCCAGCATTTCTGCGCAATGTGTCTGATCTGCAGCGAGACGATAACGAGCCGCGACCGAAACTCCTCCAGGACCTGGACGTCTTGCCTCAGGCTGGTGTAGCAGAGACTGGCAGCGAGGAGCAGCAGCGCGCAGAGTGAGAGCCACAGCAGTGCAGGCGATCCGGGTGATGGCCCCGCATCCGCTGTACGGGGAGAGGGAAAAGAGAGCAGCATCACTGCGGGGTCCAATTAAACCCTTCCCAAACCTGACCCCTCCGGTGCCGTTGTCCCAGCTCCTGGGCACAGCGGGGCTCTGGTTGTGAGCACGGCTGCAGGCATCAGCTCAGTGATGCTGGAGGGTGAAATATCTCATCTAATGGAGCATTTAAAGAGCTTAATTACATACAATAAGAACAGGACTGCCACAGCTAATGCATGATCTCAAATTTCCCTCCAGCAATTATATTTTACACCTTTAAGCTAAATGTTAGTTTAAGCACTAGGAGAATATTAAGCTACCTCATCTGATTATTTAATGTCCCCCCTCTGAAGCAGGGGGACACCGTGCACCTTTATCTCACCTTACAAACACGGCTCAAGGATGTTTGGTTCAGACGCTGCACGGCCATTGCACAGTTGGTGCTATTTTATAAAGCACTTCGAGTATTAAACATGCAGCACAGAGCCAAATTCACGCCTGAATAGAAACCCACAGAGCGCAGCTATTTTCCTGCCATATGCACATAATCAATAAGGAGATAAAAATGTGGTGTGTGTTATTACGGGTAAAGAGCCAATATTAGCTGTAACATATTTAAATTAGCTTCCACCGCGAGCCCGGGAATACAGAGCAGTCAATTAAACTGTCATACAGACGTACAGAGGGGAAGGGAAGAGTCATAAAACCAAGCAAGAAACACATAATAATGTATCAAAAAGTGCATGGGGAAAAGGTAAAATGTTAATAGGCAGTTATTTTATAGCTAACCAGAAACCAAATCAATGTCCCATAATAGATCTGAGTGAATTATTTGCAGCAAATAATTTATTCCTTTGAATTTAGCCCTTCTTTCTGTTTGCAAATTATCCGTGAGCAGACTTCAATTTTTATACATTTGTTTATTTGGCGTTATTCTGTGAATGGTTTATGGGAAGGTATAGATTTGTATGCAGAGATTTGGGATTTGGGAAGTCAGGGTTTTGTGAGCTCCCTTTGCCTGGTGCCTGCCTGGCAAAGCACGAGCAGTGCCGGTGATGGGGAAACTTCTGAACGGCTTTTCATATCAGTGGAGTGCTTATAACCTTCTCCAGTCCTGCGAACGTCACTTCCCATGTGAAATTCCTGGGTGATCTCAATTGCAAACTTGGTTTTTCCTTACATCCCCTCAATTAGGGAGGGTGTCCAGTCCAGGGACGAGCTCTGCTCGCAGCAGTTTCAGCACATCGCTACAGTTTTGGGCTTTAAATGTAAGTTTGCTCTTTTCTGGATTACAAATGGAAAATTAATGCTTGCATTTGCTAGTTGAATTGTTTGTTGGAACAATTTAAACAATTAAAACCTCAGCGCTTGCCCTGTACCCAGTTTAAGAGAGAGGCAGCTCATCTGAGAAAAGCCCTGGGCTGGGATACGGGGATTTTGGTTCAGCCCGTGCCTGGACACACATTTTGGCTGTCACTGGGGGATTTTTGGTCTTTGGCTCTTTTCTGCCTGCAGCATCATGTTCCTGGCCCAAAAACTGCCTCTGCTGATGCTGCCATTGGCATGGGCACAATGGGCTCTTACTGGGCCCCAGCTGGGGGCTGTGGGGACATTTTCTGTGTCTGTGTGTGCACATGTGTGCACATATATGTAGATATACACACACACATGTACATACATGCACATACATGTACGTGTGTGCCTCTCCCTGCTCCCAGCACGCAGCGGGGGCTCTGGACATGTCCACTGCCATAACAACATCCAGATCCACATGGTGTGTGAGAGTCTGTGGGGCTGCTGGGCCTCAGACATCCCCGCAGAGGGAAGGAAAAACCAGATTATTTGCATTCCTTCTACCCCGCTGCCAGCACATCAATGAATCGTCTCTTCCTCCCACATGAAAGTCAGCAGGGAGATCTGCTGTTTTGCTTGGGGTGCTTTCCCTGCATATCTTGGTGAAAAACCTGCACCTATTCCATTGCCGTAAAATATATTAATTATATTTAAATTAAAAATAGCTTCAGGGGTCCTGTTTTTGTTACCGCTATTTGTCTTTCTGGATGCCTTGTTTTAAAATACCGCACCAGGCCTCACTGACCCCTCGCTGAGGAGAAAACCCACTGAGGGTGTGAAACGTGTTGTGCGCGGGGGGTGTATTTGTGCCGTGGGTGGTTCGCTTATCACACGAAATTTGGACTTACCCATGGCGCAGTCACAGCAGGGAATGGCTGGAAAAGAGGATAAAAACATCCTCAGGCCTGGAAAGGCCTCTGGGCCTGGCGGTGCCTCCAAAATGGCCCGTCCTCTCGTAGGCCCTGCCCACCCCAGCAGGTGAGCGGGCAAGGGGCACTTTGGGGAAGGGAGGGAAATGGTTTTGGGGGTCAGACGGGGATTGCTGCTGGTGCAGGGGGCCAGGAGTAGGCTCTCTGGTTCATCCTGGGATGAACCAGCGGGATTAGGCGAGCAAAGCCCTCTGTCAAATGTGACTTCACCCCAAAATGTCCTGGACTGGCCTCTGCTTGGCAGCCAGCACCCAGGTGCAATTCGGGATGAAAAGTCCAGAGAATGGACAAATTTCAGTGGTGCCAGCAACCTTCACCTACCTGTGTGTGAATAACGTTGTGTGGACAAACCACAAACCACCCAAACAAGGGCTGTTTGCCGCACAGGACCATCATTATGGGCTGGGGCACCTCTCATGGCCTCGTGGAGAGGAGCCAGGGTCTCCTCTGCCCTTGCGGCTCCCTAAGGCTCAGCACAGCTGAACTTGGGATCAGAGGGAGATGAACCAGGTCCCATTGGCTGGGCTGACCATGGTTACCAGTTATTACCAGTGCTGATCCAGGGACAGGCTCCAGCAGGAAGCTGCTGGGGGAAATGCACCCACCAAAACCCTGCTCTGGAGCATTCAGGTCAACTCTGACGGATTTAGGGCTGACTCCAGGAGCTGGGTTTGGATGGGAAAGCCCAGGCCATGCTAATGAGCTCCTCAAGGAATGGCTTTTCCTCACTGTATGTCACAGAAATTTTATCAGTGTATGAAAACCACACAATTTTAGTTCCCTATCAATAAATACATTTTTCTTAGTTGGGTCATTTTGTTTCATTTGTGAATGAAACACCAGCTCTTACTTGGTTGTGAACAGTACACGGCTGTGCAGAATCACAAACTGGATCCCTATTCCAGACCCCTGTGCAGTGTCACTCCCAGTGACCCCCCCCTTGCAACCTTATTTTGGGTGATGGGTGAAATACCAGCTGCTGTGGACAGACAGGGTGGGTGTCAGAAAGCCAGAAAGGTCATACCACGTTCGATGACTTCTTCTGGCTCACGAAAACGAACCCTTCTCTCCGCTTTCCGCTTTTCCCCCACGGCGTGGTCCACGGGCGGCCGTTTCCTCAGGATGGAAGGAGGAGAGCTGCTGCCATCTGTCTAAAGAGTGGATCGAAACACACAACACGTGGCTGTTCAGGCTGGAGTGATGCACCCGTGTGAGGCCCTGGGCATCTGCAGTGATGTGACCGTGTCCCTCGAAGGACAGCGTATGAAACACATCTGTTTTGACATCTATATCCAGGCCACTGCAACGTTTATATATTTATATATGGATATCCTTTCATTGCCATAGATCTTCAGTACTCTAAAGCTGTCTCCTCAGGAAAAAGGTTGGTTAAAGTAACAGACAGCAAGGCGTTCAGAAAGGGTTTCTCTGAATTGAACAGTGACTGAAGTGGCTGCTCTGGGGCAAGAAGGTGATGTGAAATTTCTGAACCACATCCCTGGGAGCACCCTTGACATGTTATCCTGGATAAGCAGCTCCATTCTGGATGCGGCGTTGCTGTTTCACAAGCGGGACTGCAGCAGTGTGTGCTCTTGACTGTCCCGATGGCTATGAGCAGGCAATTTGTTTGTGTTCTGGTATCACAGCTATGCTGCTGCTCTGGCTTTTGCTGGAAGCCACTCTCAGCCCCTGATAAGGGAAGGGGATTGCTCCTTATAAGGGAAGGGCTCTGACAAATGCCAGGACACGGAGCTCTCCATTTCACACACCCCCTCCTTGGGCTTCAGGATTAGGTCCCATTAACCTGGGGTGCCAGACCCCAAGCACAGGAGATGAGCAGGTTTCCCTATGCACCACACTGATAACCTCAGGAAGGCACAAAACAGCAGCAGGAGCTGCCGTGGGGTGAAGAACCTCTTCAGCTTTGGTGCCGTCTCCTGAGGGATTTATAAACCAGATTTCCTTCTCCCTTATCACTGATAAGGACGCTTCATCCAAGCTTAGGGTCACACAAGCATCTGCACCACCCCTGTCTCCTGACCAGGGACAGTGCGTGCTGGAGCTCTGTGGCTTTCACTCAGCATCTCAGAACCTGGAAAACCCATCCTGGGTATGGGAAACTTGGGTCCAACCTCTTTCTAAGTCCAAAGGGCTATGGACCCACATCTCTTGTGCACACACCTTCATCCTTGGAGCCACGGCGCGCACGTGGGAGCGGGAAATCTCGGTCTCTGCCACTGAAGCAGCCTTGTTTGGGCTTGAGTGATTAAATATTAATTGAGCTAAAGAAAGGAAGAATGAAAGAATGACTTTACAGCCCGGTGTTGGGGTGCTCCCTTGGGGATGGGAGAAGTCTGCTCCTGCCCTTGCTCCAATGAATACTTAATACCAAATACTTAAATATTCATTGCAGCCGTGGCTGGGAACAGGGCCTCTCATCTGCCAGGTGAGTGCCCTCATCACTGCTGCAGCCACACACGCTTTGGGACGTAATGAATATTTAACTGCTCTGTGTGAAACACGGCAGGTTTAGGGAGACACAGCAGGAGCTGCCCAGCACAGAGAGCAGCGGTTACAGCTTGGGCTGGGAGGGACCTCCTGTGGCACAGCCAAATACTGTATTTGAGGAGATTTGTAACCCCAAGCAGGTCCTGTCCATGTGGGTTTCCAGACACCCGACATCGATACCACATCAGAAGAGAAACACAGGTTGGGTGGCACCTGGACGAGGGAGACTTAAAAATGAGGCAGCATTTACAATATTTACCAGACTTCAGCAATTTATGAAAATCAAAGCTACACAGCATCAGACAAACCCGACGCACTTTCCCCTCAGACAAAAACCCCGTGTTAACACCCTGTGACAAGGGCTGGAACCCTACCAAAGTGCTGGTTGGGAAATGCTAAACCCCTAAAAACACGCGTTGGTGCAAAGCTGGGGGTGCGGGACATGGACCCCATTGCCCATGGGGGTTACTCACCAGCGGCTCCTCGGCGCGGGGGTCAGACGGAGGGGATGGACATGTCTGGGACATGTACTCCGGGGGCCTGCATGAGGCCCCCTCGGTGGGGAAGCCGCTGCTCGGCCAATGGGGAGGACCAGGGAAACCCTTGGTGGCGGCTCCGCAGCCAGGAGGGAGCCAGGAGGGACCGGTATTGGGGGGGAGAGGAGTTTGCAGCCCCAGAGCAGCGCTGACGTGGGCAGGGTGATGTGAGCCCGAATGTATGCGGTGGCCAAAAATAGCGCTGGTGATAGTGGGGATGGTGCAGCGGGAAAGCAGGGCTTTCCTGGCAGCGGGACGGGGCTGGATCCAGAGCTCATCCATCTGGAGCTCATCCAGACCAGCACCACACACGTGTGTGTAAACGTGGAGCCTGCTCTCTTTATCGTCATCATCTCTGCCTTTCCGCGCTCCTTTCCAGAAACCATCCCCAGTCGCATGGATTTTGCGAGTGGGATTGTTCTTAATCCTCCTCCCGTTCAAAACGTGCGGGTAGAGCCGTTAGGAAATGATATAGATGTAGTGGGATCACATATATCTCCCTCCAGTACAGTTACGGCCTCACTTTATATGTTTTACAAATTAGATCCATTATTAGAGTAATAAAGTGGGATTTTAACGTTAGACATTTCTACAGATATTATAATAAGATTATTGATAGGAAGAGAGGTGATTTACTGTTCAAGAGGCTTTAACAGCCCCTTGTCAAACGCTGAAGGCTGGCCATCATCAAATACACAATTTCCAGCCAGAAATGCCTGCTGTGACTACTGAAATACGGTGGTTTGCTGTCTCTACAAGCACGAGCTGGAGCTTTGTCTGTTGTCCTTTCCCTGGAGCTGTTTATTCACTGTGACACGTCTGAAGTGCCCCAGTTTGGGGTCATTTTCCAGGTGTTTGGGTGGTTTATCCCATGGTGTGCTCACTCGTTTCACCCCATGGAGTGAGGGTTGCAAGGTGCTCACACTGGGACCGCAGGGCACAGAGCTGCAATGTTTAAATCTGAATTTCAGGGATGTGGGAAGTGAGTGGGTATGGAAAGGGCTGGGACGAGAGGGGAGGCATCCATGATGTGGGCTATGATGTGATCCAAAATCCTCCAGGACTGAGCCCCTTACCTTGGCCTTCCTGCGCATTGGGGTGACGGGGGGCTCCTCCTCATGCTGCGACCAGCTCGTGGCTGCAGGGGTGGTGAAACGCTCCCAAATCCCTGCTCTGGTGTCCCCTGCAAAGTTTCACAGCCGTTATTTTGGGATGTCTAAGCTGAGTTTTGGTAGGGAAAAGTCGCTCTTCAACACTTTGCTGATGGCAAACCCCAGACTCAGGTGAAAACGCCTGTGGTCCCTACCTTCTCCTCTGGGTCCTCCTCCCTCCTGCTGTGATAATGACTCACTAGTAATTAGTGTAAGGAGGACCTTTGCTGCCTGCCTTGGCCAGCAGGACTTGTGGAGCTGGGAAGAGGAGGTCACACTCCAGTTTTCACCAAGCTTTCACCTTCTGTGTGTGAATTATCCCATTTATTTTCACTGGTGCCACCCAGCAAGGCACCTGAGAGGTGCTCCCTGAGCTCGGGAGCTTTTAGATGTGAATGGAAACCCCTGTTCCTGTCTTTTTCACTGAATATGGTTTTACTGGGAGAAAGGCCTCGTGTTTGTCTAAACAATCAGTCAGAAACTTTTTGGTATTTTCTTCAAAAATCCCTGCAGAAGAGTCGAGGGAGTTTGTTGTGTTGAAGAAATGGACATATGGAGACAACATTTACCATTTTCGATGCCAGAAACCATTTCTTTTCAGTGCTAGAGATTCCCCTTCAATGTAAACAATTTTTCTGTTCATTTGATTGAAAAATAATCAGACAGCTTATGAATGTTTTCATGAAAGATGGTTATCCAAATGCTGGAATGATCATTTCACAGTGACACTCGGTTTTATGCATTAATTACATTGGTAGCAATGGTTGTAAATGCCTGAATAACTCGTGGTTACCTGGGCTCTCCGGTTGCAGCGGATGAAGACGTCACAGTTCAGATCTCATAGCAGGGACGGGTCCATTCCTACTGAGCGCTTCTGGTTGCAGTTTAACAGCCTAAATGGGACAGACATTAGGAACAAAACACAGGTTAATGCATGAAGTGAAAATAACTTCATCAGCCTCTGAAATCACCGGTAATAAATAACAGTTAAAGTCGTGGGATGATTTCTGCTGCAGAAAATGGAAGGATTTCCTTGAACAATGCCCTTCTTTTTAAAGTGATTTTTCATCTACGCTTTGATCTCCTTTCATGCAAAATATGTCAGGAGCAACGCTGGACAAAGAAGTCACAAATGAATTATTTAGCTGATGAGTGTCACCTCTATTTCTCTCAGCTAATTGTTCACAAATAGATAGTGACTTTTGTGAATGTATTCATTATTCAGATTTATTCAGCGGATAATTGCGGGGAGTAACTCTTTTTCTGCAGATTGGTTGGAAGCATTTTGCTGTGAACATCAAACGGTAAAAATCTGTCTGATGCAAGACAAACCCAAAATCTCCGTAGCTGCTGATGGAGTCCTTAGGCAGGGGCAGTCGCTGCAGCCATGAGGAGCAGCGTTTTGGGGGACGCAGCGACACCGCGGGCCTGGGCAGCGCCCATCGCACGTGTAAAGGAGTTCTTACAGGAAAAGCGTTGCTTAAGCGTTTGCTCGGCAGAAAAATAAACCCAGCCTGGCCCAAACGTGATTGACTTCCCCAGGAATAAACGTGAACAGCGCAGACAAAGGAGCGAACCGCACCACCGGTGTTTGCCTGCAGTGGCCCAGTGGAGGGTGTCTGGGAAATAAACATAACGCGATAAAACAATTTTACGCTCGGAGGATAGCTCTGTAACCATATGAACTCTTTTTCCATTTCCTTCTGCGGGAATAAATATTTTAGACAAGCAAAGTACTTGGTAAATGATGCCTTTGTGGGGATTCGTCTGGCCTGGTTCAATTATTTTGAAACCTAGCAATTTTCTCATATCATTGAATCTGGTTTTATTGCAAATAGGGTCATAGAAATAGTCACTCGTCGTGATAATGGACTTAGTTTATCTTAACTATTAACACTTCCAGTAGCTTTACACACGCGTACGTGTTCAATATTTATGGATATGCACGGTGTGTATATATTAATAATGAAGTAACTTTATCTCCAACAATCTGAAAACAAAATCACGTAACCCCATACAGTGTGGGGTGCGGTGGTAACTGGAGGCAGCGTATCAGGATGACAGAGCAGAAAAGGAGAAATACATGAGAAGGGAGTCTCCCGTATCTTCTTCACCTCCAGAGTGTCAACTGAGCCCGTGTTCAATGTTCCACCCCTCGTGGTCCTCTCTGCTCCTCGTCAATAATGCAGAGATGCACCTTTTGGCAGCCAGGTAGGTTGTGTTTGACCAGAGCCAGGGCATACGTCAGGACGAGTGTCAGGAGGAAGGAGCCAGGCTCTGCTCTGGGATGGCCAATGCCAGGACAAGGGGCAATGGTCCCAAGCTGGAGCACAGGAGGTTCAAGCTGAAGCTGAGGCCAAAGTTTGTGAGTGTGAGGGTGCAGAGCATGGCCCAGGCTGCCCAGAGAGGTTGTGGAGTCTCCTTGTGTGGAGACACCCAAAGCCCTGGCCGTGTTCCTGTGTGACTGCTCTGGTGATCCTGCTGTGGCAGGGGTTGCACTGGGGGAGCTCTCCAGGGCCCTTCAACTCCTGACATCCTGGGATCTGTGAGGACGTAAGAAGGCAGCAGTGTCATGAGCGGGGTGCCTTCTCCTTCTGCCGCTGGAGAAACGAGTTCACTGCTGGAAGGTGTGGACACGTGTGTGGTGCAGTACAGGGCCATTTGTGCTCCTCAGGCTGTCCATGAGGAACATGAGGTGTGCATCTCAACCTGAGGACCAGACACAGCCCCTCGGCCTGTGCCTTTCCACGTGTCCTTCCATGAGTCCTTCCATGGGCCTTTCCATGGGTGTTTCCATGGACCTTTACATGGGCCTTTCCTTGAGCCTTTCCATGGGCCTTTACATCAGCATCCATGACCAGAAGGGTCGCTGTTGATGTCTCATCTGATGGCCACTCCAAAATGGGGCCTTTTTTTGGAGCTGGAAAAGAGCGAAGATTGGCAACAAAGGCTGATGGAGACAGAGCAATGAACGTCTGACAGCGCTGCTGTGTGTGCAAAGAGCAAAGCCATTGGTTTTCCTTTCTGCACGCTCCCTGCAGTTCCCAGGAGCCGAGTGTGGGCTCTCAGAATTCACCATTTCTGAATGGATTTCTGAGATCTGAACCTGATTCCTGCTCCGTGGGCACTGTCCAGGAGCAATTTAACGCTGCTGAGCAACCCGGTCTCAATTCACCCCTGGCACAAATCCATCGACTTATAAAAACTATGGATCCATCTCCATTTCTTAAAATTGCCTCTCTTATTCATGCTTCTTTTCAAGTAAATTTAGGAATAACCACAGAGTACTTGTGGTGATTTATAGTAAACACAGAGAGCATTTCTGGGCTGCTGAAATGAACTTCCTAAATAATTACAGCATGATCTCACAGCCATTTCATAATTGGACTCCTGGGGTAATGGCTAAGCTATTATTTGTGATTCAACATGCGTTTTTATTTTGGTAAAGTCCCATAAACCATTAGTTTTATTCCACCTGAGGTTTCCTAATCTGTTCTGCTCATCCTGCCGCCAGGATCTGCAATGTAAAGCAGGTATTGATTGAACAGAGTCACCCAGGAGCAAGTGCTGGTGTCTGCTGTGGGCTCGCTGCTCCCATCTCCGTCCCTGTGGATGCAGGAGATGGGCAGGGCTGGAGCCAGGTCGGTCCGAGCCAGCTTTTGTCACACGCTCATCGCATTTTGGGGACAAAAGGGAGTGGAAGCAAAAAAGGCACGAAAAGAGACATCCTCAGGAACAGCCAGAGCAGGATTACCTCCAGAAATGACATTTTGGCAATAATTACTGCTGTGTTGATTGGGACTTTCAGCAGCGATTCCTCATGTCCGGGGTGAGTCTGGG